AGAAAAAAAATAAAAAAAAGCATAATAAAAAAAGTTTTTTTTTTCTTATGTTTTTTTTTTTTTTTTTTAAATTTCTCCTCAGGAGTACCTCAGATAGCTATCTTCAGACTGAAGTAATTTCAAAGTATTGTTTAAGCTGATGACATATTCTAGCACTGTTATCTATTGTGCATCTGTTATTTCCTTGAACTCAACTAACAGCGGTGTGTGTGTTTGTGTTTCGAAAACCTGGGTTCTATAGCAGTGCTTCCATTGCTGAGTAGGGTGTTCTCCCCCACCCCCAACACACACACAATACTGTTTTCTGGACAACTGTACTGAGCGCTGTTCTGAGCGCGGTTGATGGCATCTGTCCTCAGCCTGTGCCCGTGGGCGGAGGACACAGGCTGTGGGTGTGTCTCGCCCGCAGGCGCGCGCGCGTGCGTGCGTGTATCCTGTATACATGCATTCTCTGGTGTGCCTCAAATGGAGCCATTTTTTTTTTTTTTTTTGCCCGTGCGGCGTCCTGAGCATATGAGTATTATGCAAATAGAATCATTCCGCTTGAATATTTGTGGAGGGGGAGGGGATGAATCATTTTAATTCTGCTCTAATATTTTCTCGGCACCCTTCTCATTGAGTGTGAATGCATTTGGATGCCTTTCTGAGGTCCTTGTGTATGTGTGTATGTGTGTGTTGGCAGAGAGTGTGTGTGCGGGTCAGTGGGTGTGTGCCTCGGTGTGTGGGAGACATGCACGGTCTATGAGGACCTTGAGTGATATGTATTCTCTTCGGGTGTCCCGTCTGTCTGCCCTTCTTGTTTTGTGTTCTCTGGGTGATTATGTGCGTATTTACATATGTGTGCCTATTCTCCTGCCTTCGTGTATTGTCTTTCTGCACAGTCCACACATTTCATATATATTCTCTTATCTTTTGGCAAAGTGCCTTTTTTATTCCTCGAAGAATATTTATTGATGTGATAATCTGAAATGAAAAGTGGTCTCCCATGAAGGAGATGGAAGAAAAAGGAGTGTTCATCTTTCTTAATAGACGGGGCAGTGCCAGTTGACTGGATCACAGGGTTTCTCTGCACTTTCTGCCTGTGTGTCTGTGGGAGGGGGTGTGGGGGCGGGGATTGACCGGGTGGGGGGGAGAGAAAAGGAGCTTTTAACCAGAACAAAGATAGGGTACTGCGCCTCCTGGCGGCCAGATTTAATATTGCACCGAACAGGCCCGCCCCAGTTTTCTTAAGCCCAATGAATACTGTAATTTCCTTCGTTAAACCATTCAGAGACTGCCTCTCAGACCCAGCCTCCGGCCATCAGCCAATCACCAGGCTCCATGCAAATCACCTCTTCCGTTCTCCAAACCCGACTCTGCTTTAGATGCGGTTCTTGTTACCCCGCCCCCTCCTTATTTCCTCTCCTCCCCTCCTCCCTTCCTCCTCTGCCTCCACCCGAGCAGCTGCAGGGGAAGAGGGCAGTGCTGGGTGCCTCATGCATATGCAGACAGATCCTCCTCCTCCTTCCACCTTCTCCTGTCCGCTCCCGCAGCCTTTTCCCTTCCCCCCCACCCGTCCTCCGCCGCAGCCACCGCCTCCGGTTTCCCTGGCGCGTCCGCGCGCCTCGACGTGCGGTTCCCCGAGCTCGGGTCCAAGGCAGCTATTTCCCAGAGGGAGGCCTCCTAGTGCTCTAGGAGCAGGCGCGAGAAAGGGAGGAAGGCTCCCTTCCTTGAAATCCTCTCGAAGGTCAAGTTTGAGTTTAGCTGTACAGAAGCGAGAGGCGTCGAAAATGCTGCTACAGGGTCTGAGGGAAGGTTCTGCACGCAGACTGATTTTGTAATGGCTTTCTCCCCCTTAAACACCAGATTAATTTCTCTGAAACACACAATGTACTGGCCACGTCCAGAGGCAGGATGATGATAGATAGTTTTGTATGCCCAGAGCTATGGTGTGTATTTGTCTTCTACATCAAGGCTGCAATATCCTTAAGCCATAAAGCATTGGGGAGGAGATCAGGCAGCTTTAGATCTACTTAGAGAGAGAAGTGCCTACACGTGGTCAGGGAAGAGTGGTGCGCGAGATCTGTTAAAGGTGGGCAGTTAAATGTCAGCTCCTCCAACTTACAGGTAAGCAGACTAAGAGCATGAAGGAGAACCCATGAAAAGAAAAACCTATTCAGAGAGAGAGAGAAAGAGAGAGAGAGAGAGAGAGAGAGAGAGAGAGAGAGAGAGAGAGAGATCGGGGATAATTTGTCACTGTTATTTACATTCAGAATCTGGGTTCTTGGCCCTTTACAGACAATAGTAAAAGGTACACAAGCTTTGAATACTGCTCTGAACTGCCCTTGAAGCACATTGATGGGAAAAATGTCACAGGAGAAAATCGCGGTTTCTATAGTGCTTTGAGATCCTCTAATGGGAAAGCAGGAGAATTGCGAAGTGACCTTGTTTCATAGATCTCTACTGTGACACTGGAACACTTAAAGGATTTTCTACTGAGAATTGAGGAAATTCCCACTCAACACTTACACCATGAAGAAGTGAGTAGAGAGCAGAAAAATTTAAATAATATTTTGCCAACATTTATTAATTGAGCACATTTTATGGAGTGCTTATTATGTACCTGGTAGAGATCATCATCTTCTATGCAAAGCACGGTATGGGCATAGTGTTTCTCAGGTGTGCTGGAAATTAGGGAAAGCAACAGGAATTCTAAATGGTTTCTATCTTGGAGTTGCTCATCATCTTGCCAGACAAAAAGACACAGATAAATCTGATACAGTGTAACATGGAACATGAAAACAGCTTAAATATCTGTTAGGAGTGCATTCCAACAGTGAATATTCTACAGCAATTAAAAATGAATGGATTCTCTTGAAAGCAATATTGGATGAAAAAAGCAATTGCAAAAGAATACATGTGATATTAACATAATATTTTCATCTGTTATTATAACTACAAAAAAAATTTTAAAAAATGTTGGGTATATATCCATGCACCGAAAATATAAGAACATGGTGAGGAAGGATGCATGCTAATTTCAGGATGGAGGTTATCTTTGGAAAAGAGGGTTCTTTCAGCCATATGAGTTTTAGCTATATAAGTAATGCTTGTTTCCTAAAAGATGAGAAAGTAAAAGAAAAATGAGGAAACAGAGAAGTTTGGGATGGCATTGTAGAAAAGCTGACATTGAAGCTAAGGTTAAGTTCTTGAAAATGATAAGAAGGAGTTTAATATGAGTATTGAGAAGAGAATTTTCCCTGAGAAAGAAAAGTATGAACAGTGTGAAACTTTTATTAGACTTTCTAATTTAATTTTTAATTTGTATATAGTAATATTCATTTTTTAAAGGGGTACACAATTCTTTGAGTTTTACAAATGCATGGAGTCAAGTAACCACTGTCACAAACAGGAAACAGAACGCTCCCTTATCACTACAAATACTGCCCTTTGTAGTCAACATTTTCCATACCCTTGAACCCTGAGGCCACTGATCTATCACCCATCCTTGTACTTTTGCCTTTATCTGAAGTCATATAAATGGAATCACACTGTACGCTGTCACTCTGCTCACCT